CAGCACAACACCAGGAACGACTATTTGCACCACCTACACCTGAGGCAAACCCAACAACCATCATTTGCAATCTGACCCGGACAGTGACTCCCGACCAACTTCAAGGCTTAGCTGTGGGTTTGCAAGCTCTGGCGTCCTCGATCCCTTCTGAGCAGACTGAGCCACCGGCAACAGGTGCACCTGGGCGCATTTAAGTCGCATCTGGTGGCCACCATAGCCCATATATATATACACATATATATATACATTTATACATATATATGTAACTAATCTAGTTGCACGTTAGGGGACTCAGTTCCCGACGGATCACTTAAAAGATCAACTCTTGTCTATATATATATATATATATTGTGTGTGTACCATCTGAACTGATGTAAAACTTCTGGGATTTTCTTCCGTTGGTTTCAATGTTGCAGGGGGCACAGGCCCATTGTGGATACTTGTGCCAACGAAGCTATTTCACAATGGTGGAAGCGGAGATTGATCACCTCCGTGTACCTGCATTTTTTGACTGTCATGGCAAGAGGCTAAGCCAAGAACCCCAACAACAGAAATTTGTTTTTTACATGTTTTTACATGGTTGTCGCAATCTGAGATTTTCTTCGGCGTCGTTTTCCACCTTATTTGCATGGTATTTTTACAGTCATGGCGAAGGGTTAAGCCGAGAACCCTATAGCGGTTATTCTCATTTTTTTGGAACTTATTTGAAGACGTTTCTGGTCACGATTGTTTTTTCGGTGTACCTCTCGGTATTCGAATACTTCTTCTTAGGTTACTGTGTTTCCTGTCAAATTTGCACGTGGTGTCGGGATTCAGCTCCCGACGGATGAATTATAGATCCATTCTTGTCTAGTGTGTGTGATATCACGACTGCTGGTTGATCAGCTTCGGTTCGGGGTCCGGTGTGTGGTGAGGTCGGATGAGGAAGCACCCGACGCAGCCGGAGAAAGACTCGAACAGAAGATGCAGGACGGGTTTTGCTGAGATCTTCTGTCGATTTTGGGAAAAATTGATTCTGAGATGTGACGATGGGATTGTATGGTGTGCGGTTCAAGTTGCAGCCCATCTCCTTTTGAGCTGCTGAGGAGTTGCGTCAAGAGATTGAATCATCCTTAGGATGAGGGGTGATGGATTGAGAACCACAGGAAAAGCAGCTTAGTGCTGGCTTTCCGAAGATCGTGAGGTGTTGAACGTCCTGGTTGAGTGATGGATTTTGGTTCTAGCTACCATGTTTAAAAAAAATAGCATCATCTTTGAATGATGCTTGGAAGTGGCAAACCATATGCAAGATCAAACTACCTGGGTGTCAATCGGATCGTATTCGAGAGAAAACTACGTAGTAAACGCATTGACACCTAGGGTTATTCCGTGTTTAAGAAAACTTATCAGCGTTTCATGGCGCACAAAGTGGCAACGGCAACCAGATGCTGAACAATTCTCCAGGATAACCTGCATTGGACCTACAGCGCATCCATATTGGAAAGAAAAGGAAGGACCCATAAGAATCCATGTGCTGACCAACGAATGCTCCGATTCACAGCATTTTCTCACGGCCAGAATCAGATCTTCAGCAATTATTCAGTCCCACCAAGGATGACATCCATCAGACGATAGAAACACCCACGGACTGTTTATCATTGGGGTGTACTGTCGCATTTTTTCAACCAGGGTGGCCGTTTATTCATATGCAGTTTAAATATTTCCCAGGCTTGAGATGCAGAATGGATAAATTAGATTCCTGGATAGATGACGGGTAGATAGGTGAATCTGATGGGAGATGCAGATTGGTTGCCGCGGTTGCCCTTGCTTTGTTTCTCAGCGCCCGAGTTTGGGACCCATCCTGCAGTTGCACCTGCGAGGCAGAAGGGCTGATATTTGCTGATAGTAAGTTGTGTCGCGCGATACTGTGTGCATTTGTGTGTGCAACTATAAACATATGCGCTACCCTCTGGTAATTTAACATAGCTATTGAAAATCACCATTGATAGTGGATTTTCCCATTGAACATGGTGATTTTCCATAGCTATGTTAAATTACCAGAGGCTACATTTAAGTATGTAAATGAAGGGACAAGATGGGACTCCCGTAGATGATTAGCATTGCCCAGTTGCTGGAGTTCTTGCTGAGCTTTCTCAGTGTCTTGTGCAAAGGGGCTTTTTTCTTCATACCAGCTATGTGTTTTTGGAACATTATTTTTCACCACCTCCAAACAACTTTTACAGTACTGTATACCAATTCTGTTCCATTTTTTACACATGGGACTGTTGGTGCACCATTGGCTTGTCCTTTTGACCGACTCGTCTTCCGAGTGTGTGACGAAAAGTTGCAGGATCCAACATGACTCAGCGACTAAGTGTTTCACCCGGGGCCCGGCAACATCTAACCGTCAAAAGTCAAAAGTTTTAGGGAAGTAATGGGAGATGAAGACTTCATGAGTTGCTGTTGAGTAGCTCATTTTTTTTCAACCATGCTGATGACTTGGAGTGAATCTCTATAGTAAATCATAGTAAATTGAGAAGGGAATCGATCCCCCGAAAAATGCCAAAGCCTTGGATATGCAGTCAGCGTTTGAGCTGCACAAACTGGTTCCTAGGACCTATGGTCATCCGACAGGGAAAAAACCACAGGATCAAACCGGCGCAGAGTTTTCCCCTTAGTTTGACAACGCCGTTTTTCCAACGTGGAATCCATTGGTAGCAAAAAGTCATGCTATGCCATTTGGTGATCTGAAAACAGCTAGTAGGCCAGTTGGTGCCAGATATCTTCCAAAAAGGCCCCGGAAATCTTGAATCTCGAGCGGAACTGGAGCATCGGTCTACATTGCCATGTCGCAGGGTCGAAGTGTTAGCTTCGAGCACCCAGGGCAGCCAGGAAGCACATGTGTTTGAACATGTTTGAATTGTTGAAGCATGGTTTCTGTATGTTTGTGTAGTTTTGTGCCTTAAGTGTGGCGCAAGGCCAAATTTCTCCAATTTTGCATGAAGTGAATAGATGCTACAGATATACACAGATATACACAGATATCAGATACATGTCATGTCAATTGTTTGACGTGGAACGGTGCTTTGGAAGACCCGCAGCCAACTGTGGAAATCGTTGGCACCTCGAAGGAAGGAAGTGAAGGGTTTCTGAGGTTTGAAAAGATTGTTTGAAACGGTCAGCTGCTCACGGGGTTCCCAAAGTTTTCATATGTTTTCATCATGTCCCTTACGTGCCAGGATTGATCTTGACAGATTGGTGTGCTCATGGGAGCCCTTGGAGCTAGCAGGATGAACCAATCCATTTGTGTTTCATCCAGCCAGACTTCTGGCATTTTGGCCGGAGGATATGCCTGGTACGCTGCGAGTCAGTACACTGACCGCATGGCGTTCTTCGCACCGCTGGGAAGTCACACAGAGTGGAATGCCATTCGTTGGTACGGCAGTTCTTCTGGGATATAGCTGTTAGCCAGATCTTGGGATTGGAAGCCCATAGGCTCAGGGTATTCGCATAGACTGCTGGCCCTACTCTTGGCACATCTCGAGTCATCCTGTGCCGACAGTATCCCAAGATACACAGCGTGGATCCCACAAATTGGAAGCACTGAGCTCCACTACATGTTCTCACCGGTTCTTGGACATTTTCGCATGGGCTCTTTAATGAATATGGGGGCTATTTGGGGGCCCTCAATTGCCGAACTGTGTCACTACTTCCCCGCGGCGCTTCACTAAAGAGGTGTTGTGATAGGACACGAGTCGCCAATGGATTTTTGCCTGGTCCAGCCACTGGTAGTGAATACCAGCCTCAGCATGACCCATTTTTAAAGCCGCGGCAGTTTGAACATCGTCTGGGTCAGTTTCTTGGGCGGCCAATATTTTCAACCCGTGGAGTCATTAGCAGATCTGTCTACTGTTTGAATGACAGATCTCCTGGTCTCTTCCTGGGGTGCTGCCGCCAAAAATAAGCAGCTTCTGGGGTCATGACAATCTGAAAGGTTGGACTTGGAGTGATCGAAGATGTGATACTCAGGAGTGATCCAATCATCTCTAATGATCTTCAAGTTGTGTCGTGACCCTGACTCGCCCCCCTCACAGCCGTGGCGTGTGGTGAGCCCCAAAGAAATGGTGGACTAAATGTGAAGGATTTTGATAGACATCCAACAGGTCAGGTCAGATGAGCATAACGGATGCAGAAGTTGCCTTTTCCTGCCAGGTGAACCAGCAACAAGCTCTTCGACCACATAGAGGATATGACTTTCATTTTTCTTTAAGGCAGTACTAGTGGGTTAGTTACTGGCAGGGATGATTGTCTGCTCCACAGCACCAAACCGGTGTAAACTGGGAGATGCGGATTCCTCAAGCCCAACTGGCTTAGGGATCGAAACTCAGAGCGGCTGACATTGTGGCAGGCATTGTAAAGAGGTTGAGACTAAGGCTAGTCAATATGATGAAGATTGGCGGCGATCATCATGATAATTGTTATGATAGTGGTGGTGGTGGTGGTGGATTATGGATTATGGACTATGGATTCTGGAGCAATCTGCGCGTTCACTTTTGTGGCTGGTTCCCTCGTAATGTTGATGATGGTGATGACCCCAATCAGGCACGTTTTCCTTCTTCCAAGTACTTATTTACGGTTTTCTTCCATGCCTTGTTTCCCAAAGGATCAAGGAAAAAATACACTTTGGAATTTGTTTCTCCTGTCCAAGTGTCAGCGCTATCCTCCTGGTTGCATAGAACGATCTGGGGAACAGCAATCAGCTGACGAACTTCTTGATGCACTTGCACACGTCTGATGAGTCTAGCCCATTGGACAGACCCCTTCACGACTCGTGCTAGGAAGAAATGTGCTTTGGCTGCGCCAGGATAGCCAGACATATATAAGTCAAAGCTGAATACAGTCATTGGGTTTATAACATTATATAAATTATATAACATTTTTTAACCCCACATAGTTCGCAGTTCTGGGTATTTAGCGATTTGTGGTATTGGAGTAGCATTGGACCTGTCAACGACGTCCAGGAACCTGATGCCAAGCGGCGCAGGGAGACCTTGGAAGCAAAGGCCTGGTGGTCCATGTTGGTTAATGGTGTTTATAGTTATACTATAATTAATGTTATATATCAGCTATATCAATATAAGTTATATATCAAGTGATAAAGATTGTGATACTACCATACTGGTGAATCAGAAAAAACATTAAGCTCATATTTGGAACAGGTGGAACAGCCATGAACAGCCCATGAAATCCTCCTGATCCTTCAAGGAAATCTGCGTGCGGAGGTGGTGATTCCAGATGGAATACGTCCGGAGAACGCGCAGAACATCCTGCAACTGCGAATTGGTGCGAGACGCAGACTGGATCGTGGGTTTTGGATCTCGTGGGAAATCATCGAGATTGACCATTTGAAAGATTTGAAAGATTTGAAAGATTTGAAAGATTTGAAAGATTTGAAAGATTTGAAAGACTCCCAACATGGTCCCATGGTCACAAACTCAACACGTCAACGTCTCCAACTTCGTACTGTGAGGTCAAAAGCGAGTGTTGCAGGCTTTGGAGAAAGAAGCCGCTGATTGCTTCACAGATTGAAAAATGGCCTCGGAATCTCACAGAGACAAGAAACCTTGCGGTGGGGATCAGGTGACGAAATCCGTGGGATCTTCTCACGCCATGAGACGGCTGGATTTTGGCTCAAGCGTGGTGCAGCTGAATCTGTGCTATCAGTCTATGAGTTGACAAATCAGCAACCAGTTTAACAGTTTGATCAGTTTGGGAGTCGGTTTAACACTGGTTGGTGGTTTCAAACATTTTTTATTTGCCATAATCTATGGGATAATCCTTCCCATTGGCTAATATGTTGCAAGATGGTTATTGCACCACCAACCAGTACCACGTTTGTGGGAGGATACATCAGCGATGAATAACATGGAGTGATGATGTTTGATTCACCTGCGGCCATGAGTGAAAAACTCCGATCTGTGAGGGACCGGATCCACCAGCTTTCCGAATTAAAGACTTGGTAAGTTCGGTAAGCACCATCCGATCATCCGATGTCACCAACATTGTCACACAAACCTTTCGCGAACATCACGGCTGTAGAACAGCTCTGAGCAATCATGAAGCTGCTACACAAAGAGTTCGAGAAGGTCGAGACATGTTGGGTTGGTTGGGAGGAAGGTACGGCCCGATGTCATGAAGGCTTCACGAGCCAAGCATCAGACATACAATGTAGTTATAACAATGGTATACAATAGTAACAATTATTGCGGTTAAGGTTATTAATATTTCTATGACTATAATACATTGAATGCTATTAGATTATATTCATCTAGATATTCGTTTCAACTCCAGGGTAGCTGAAAGGCTTGGGTTCTACATGCCTTAGACATGATGCAGTTGTCCTTGTACTGGCACCGCAGTTTTGCACCTTGGTGCAATCGCTTTTCTGGAAAGTACAACCAGGTCATCAGTGGTTGACAACAAATGGATGAGGAGTAAATCTTGGTGTATGGGATACATCTTGAATTTTCGGAAGATTCGGACAAGCCACGCACTCAGCAACTCCCGTATCCAGACAGTGCAGCAACAGCTGAACCATTCATGTCCCAGAATCATCAGGGATTGCAGATTCTTCAACTAGGCATAGCCCGGCATAGCTGGCTGAACCCCCGCATCCAGCTGGGTTTCCCACGGCTCACCCGGCATGCCTTGGGTTCCGGTCACCATGGCGCCCGGCGCACCCGGCATGCCCGCTGTGCCCCACTTGCGTGGGGGGGCCAAGATGGATTTATGCAACGCCCTATACGCAGAATGCCAGCGTCGCCGGAGGTCTGAGAACAACTTCGGGTCCTTCCCGTTCTACAAATCGCTTCAAGGCGAAACTCGACAGGTGTTGCTTACACAATTCTTCATTGCATATCTTTGGGCAACCTGAATGTTAATCATAATTCATGGTGGAAGAAGATTTTTTCTCCGGACCAAAGTGCTGTGGGCACCAGGTTGCGTCAATGTCCTCCAAAGGAGCGGCGCTGGCAGGGGTTCACAGTTGGATTCATTTGGTCAGAATGACTGTCACAACTTTCATCTTTTGCTGTTTTTGTATGTGCTTGTGCTCTAATCGCTTTAACATTTGAACATATCTAGAGGTGACTCTGAGCCGAAGCCTCTGAGGTGGCCTTCTGCACGGCGGTGGGCTGCCAGGGTCGCAGGACTGCCATCGGAATGGTACTGGTAGGAACTGTGCTGTTTTTTGGGTCTTGGGAATTGCATCCCTGTCAGGAGAGGATGCAAAACACCGAGGGGTCCGGACCTCAAACTGCAGCAAAGAACCCCACAAATTCCCACCAAAGTCATTGTCAAATTTGTCAAGAGCTTCAAGCAAAAGTAAACAAATGCCAAAAACACATGTCTTCTGAACATATACGCCGTGGTTCTTCTTGGCAACTTCCTGCTATTTTGTGCCGCTGGTCGCTGAGGGGCGGCCCCCTGGGACAACATCTTCGGCGGTGAAGAAATCAAGTTACCCTACAGCACCAAAGAGGTCATGGATTCGCTGAAATCCAGTGGAGAGCTGAGAGAAACAAATTGGATAGGATGGATAGGATGGATAAAATGGTGCCCTAATGGTGCCCTAATTGTTACTGTTCTTTCCAGGCCTCAGGGAATCAGATGCTGGAGCTGTTTCTTGCAAATGTTTGACAGTGAGCAGCATGTCAGTCACAACCAAACTGAAAAAATAGAGGTTTCCTCAAATGGGGATACCCCTAAATCATCCACTTTCATAGAATTTTCCATTATAAACTTTATAAACCATCCATTTTGGGGTACCCCCAATTGCAGGAAACCCTATGACTAGGACACGCCGAGGCGTGGAAGTCTTGGTGAAGTCGGGTCTACCACGGGCGGATGTGGAGCTTCCCGATCCTCGACATCGTCCTGACGGGGGGGAACCGGTCCCCACTGGTCCGCAGATGGGCTTTCAAACAAAACCCTTTTGGGATGGGGCTGAAAACCGTGAAAACAGGAACAGTAGGGGATGTGATTTCAAGGGACCAAGTTGCCCTGGCCACCGGCGCATCCCATCGCTGCCCAAGGCAGGTTTACGACTGGGCTTGGAGAACGTCATGGAGCGGGGAGACGGGCGGTGATTGTGATGAACCAACATACATCCCTGGCCCCTAGTATTACATAAGTAGCCCCCTGTAGAAACACTGGGTTAGTATTGGACCGGTGGATTGCAGCTGACTGAAGTTTCTACAGCGGAACCCAGCGCAGGATCCACTGATTGTTCCAGAAGTCGAACCATCAGCGGAGCAAATTCTCCAGGCAGACAGGGAGCTGGCGCGCGCCTTCCTGGCGATGTTCAAGAAGGCCGATGGTGTTGCGGGCGGAGCATGCTCTTTAAAACCTGACCATGAAATGGTGGATTGGTCGAAAAAATCCACAGTTAGTCATAATTATCATAAGTATATATATATATATGTAAGTATCATAATTATCCCATGTTTTCCCCAATGAAAATGATGAAACACATTGCCATTTTGGGATGCGTATCCCATTTTCAGACACTGAGGCGCTGAAGAACCGCCTGAGCATCGTCTTCCGCACCAACAAACAAGCTGCGCAAGCAAAGCAGCTGTGGGGCAAAGCCGTAGGAGTGACATGGGAGGTTGGTGTCCAATAATTGATATGATATACTGTATGATGATATATATATATATATGAGATATTCACAATATATTCAAAGATGTTGATGAAGTTTAAGTGGATGATTCCCTTTTTTAGACAGCTTGTTTCAGCTTGTTGCATGTCTCCAGTGAATCTCCATCCAGTGGCCCACAGGAGAAGCGCGCGTGGTCTCCATGGCGAAAGGCTTGGCATCAGGGTAGATGATTGGTGCTTGTGGTGCCAAGGGCACTGCTTGTCCTTTCCAGAAATCTCCAAGTGACTACTTCAAGTGACGCTGCAGATTGACGACTTGTGATGTTGAAGGTGGAGATTGGATGAGATTGAGGGAATCACTAACCAGCAATATTCACTGGATCTTTTCTTCTTGGATATGGATATATTCAACTTATTCAACCTTAGCCTTTCGGCCTTTCACGCCTTTCATGAGCTAAGTGGATGACATTTCCCCTCAGTCCGCCCAGGTGGCACCAAGAAAGGTGCCTTTAGCTCCGGAGAAGGACGACTTCCCAATGGCCCGGCCTGTGATGGTTGGTTTTCCATGGGGTTTTTAAAGGAAGGGCCGCCCCAGGAGAGATGGCTGCTTCGTTCATCCAGTCGTTGAAGGCGCTGTGCTTGCTGGCAATAGCTGCAAGTAAAGCTGACAGATGCTGACAGTATTTGGCAAGCGACCACACTCAGCCGTTTTTGAAGATCTTGGACCAGTAGCCGTAGCCAAATGTCTTTCCGCAATCAAGTCATTTGGTAGGCACCTTAACGGTTTAAGTTTAACAGTTTAAGCTCCGCTAGCCAACTGTCTAGGAATCACCGCAGCCACCATCCGCTGAACCTTTCACAGAAGCTTCGGGACGACAGGACATGGGCGACGCCTTTGTGGTCATGGTCGCGCCACGGAAAGCACAGTTGGAGGCCATCGCAAGAGCTGTGGAAGAGGCGCCGCGGTGCTGCGCTGGGACTCTTCCAGCATCCAGCACGATGTCGAGTGGTTCATCAGCAGCACTCATTTAGCCTCAGAAATGTGGCCAACATAATGCCAAAATCGGACCAATGTTAAAGCTTCCTGGAAAACCAAATGGCCAAAATTTTTTGTCCATACGGTTTTTGTCATTTTTTTTGGCTATTACGGGTTGTACCCAGATATGCCCATATACGGTTTGAGGGGTGTAATTTTGGCAATTTGGTTTTCCAGCCATGGGGAATGTCATGTGATGATTTACCTTGGCCCACTCCATCCTGCTCAACGAGCAGCGCCCTTTGAAGTGAGATGCCGGGATTCCCAGTGATGATTTGTGGGACGCGGTCTTGTTCCTTTTCTTTCTCTGTTCCTTTTCTTTCTCCGCTCCTTTTCTTTCTCGTCCGCGCCATCCCCTAGCACTAACGAGCACCCCTGTTGAGCCAGGTTTTCATGGCTCTCGTAAGATATCGCTGAATGACTCTAAATGCCGTGGAGACCGGACTTACACGGCGGCTTAGCCGTGCCGTGTGTCCTATAAAGTCCTCGTCCATTTGGACACTGTCAGCTAGACAGTTCCAAGTCCAAACATGCTGTGATCCAGCAAGCAAATCTCGGAAATGGTGATCCAACATGTGGTGTTTAACCACTATCGGAAATCTCAGCTTCCCCGCCTTCAATGAGATAGCTGCCACTTCCGCATAGAGCCTCAGCCAGTGCCTCCCAAGCTTCCCAGCTTCCTGGGCTTCATCCTGGGTGAGCCACAGCCCCCCTTGGTACAGCACTGCGAAGACGCGATTGATGGCTCGCACGGCCCAAAGCACACGAGATAAGACTGGATCTCTCAGCACCTCAGCTTCGCGTTGCGTTAACCAGTCTTCCAAGAATTTGTGGTAGATCCGCGTGTCATCATGTTTGGACCAGTTGGCATCAGGCTGGACTTGGTAAGAAGTCAGCCCAATCCTTTCGGAACAAAAGCGGCCGGAATGCGGCATAGAGTTGCCAACTTTTTTGGCCCACGCTTTCAGGTCCAAATTCATTTTCTCAATCTTGCTATCCTTGGAAGTGGCGTCCACCAAACTCAAGCATTCAGCCAAAGATGATGCTATGAACAGCTTCCCGACACCACCGTGATAGTTGTGCCAAATATCTGGCCGAAAGACCCTTTCTGGGCAAGTCGGGTCATGGTACAAGTCGAGAGCCGAAGGTCTGACACTCCAAGGCTCCGGGACTGCACTGTTGGCCCATTCGCAATCCAAGTTGAAGTCCTCAAATGGCCCGCACCCACTCATTCCTGCATTGCAAAGCCAACACACTCCTGCTGGCTTTGCTGGATTTTTCACTGTCACTTTGCTCGGATCTTTTCGCTGTGCCCTAAGCCAGTGGCGATCGAAGTTGCCAGTTTTGGCCAAGTAGGGAAGGTCCCCTTTCATTCCAACGTTGATCAGGTGGTACCGCTTCCCTTCGTACTGGAAGCCCTGTTGCAGAATCAGCAGATCATCAACCAAGGCTTTAAAGAAAGCTTGGTAGTTCTCCTCAGTCGGGGCGCATTTCAAAAGGAAACCGCTTGGCGCAAACAACCCGCGACAAAAAACTGGCTGCGACTAAAAGTTTTTCAATTGACCTATATCGAAGTCTACGCAAAAACAAAATTCATCGAAACATGTGGACAAGAATCCGGGTTGCAGCTGTAGTGCTTCTTTGGCATAGCCCCAGACAGGAACCGAGAGTTGTAGGAAGTGCCCTTGATGTTTACAGCCATGCGCTGTTCACGATCATGGCCATCAGGATGGGCTTTCAAAAAAGGAGTACTGCCTCTTCCAATTGCCCCCTGTACACTCAAAATCATGATGCCAGAGCGCTTGAACCCCCGACCTTCGTCGCCATGTATCATGATTGGAATGCTCCGGGCTAGTGTGCAATCGCCCCGTGCGCTGGCAGCAAAGACCTGGTGCGCTGGGTTTTGCTTGCTGAACCTCCTCCAAAAAGTGAGAAGGGTGCTTTCGGCCTTCGACATGTCCAGTTCCCCCAACAGTTTGTTGACCAGCTTGCACTTGACCAGATTTTGGATTGTGTCAGTCATTTTCAGCACTGGAAACTGGACATCTCCTTTCGGCAAGTCGATCCAAGTGATGGGGATGTCCAAAGCGAGGCCATGCCGCTGAAACCTGGAGTTGTTTTTGGAAAGGAATACGTTGGTCACAAAACGGCCAACAAGTCAAAAGGAACTGTCATAGCAGGAATGTCCATGTTTGCACCAAGACATTTGGCAAAAGCGAACCAGTCAATCAATTAATCAACGTAATCAACCACATGTTGTGCCAAATGAAGACGCAAACTAATGCTGCCAGTGAGCAATTCGTGGCAGGCTGATTCAGCTCTATCAGCTCGGACCTCACTTAACCTTGAGGTCACCGGACATGCAGTGCCGCCAAAATGCTGCACAGCTGCCTTTGCCATGGACGCGACTGAAGTTGCAGTAGCCTTAGCGTGCCACAAAGAATTGTGAAGAGTAAGGCGCTCTGCCTCTCAAACAATCCTCACGAACGGTTATCATTCTGTGAACGGTCTTTGCACCTAAGGCTTTTGCGAGCTAATTTTCCGACCGCTCTGCAACAAAACAGCGGAGAAAACAGCGTGGTGAGTGGTTAGATCCTACTCAGAAGAAACATGTCTCTTTGTATTGGAAACCTTCCTTCGACGTTTTGTTGTGACTGCTCAAAGTTCACAATCTCCTGCATGTTGACCTGTCCTAATTCAACGTATCGATGATAACGTCTCCAGATGTTGGATGCATCATTCTGACACTCTGGCTGGATTGATCCCGTGCGGAACCTCATATGGCTGAAAAAAAACAGCGCGCTCTTCGCGACTTTTCCACCTTTCTCTTCTCTTGATCTATCTTCTTGCTCTCATGCGCGTATTCTTCTTTCCACTGGGACACTTTTGGACTTATATAAGATCTTAGCATATACTTATAAATAAGATATTTTAGCATATATAATATTTTTTTAAAGATGGATGCACAGGATGTTTTTTGGAAAAGTCTGTGATGACCACTGTCGTCAGATGACTGTGCAAAAACATTGTTTAAATATTTGGTGCAAAAGTCTGCGGAAAACATGACATGTTTGACATCATAGGTTTGGACAAGCAGCTCCGTCTGCAATGCATGAGGCGGCATGAACTCCCAAAGGTCCCACTCGACCTGGCGCAGCTGAGGCTCGTATGTTGGACCCATGCAGTCGGCAAAGGCCGGCTGTGGAAATTTGAACTCAAAGACTGATTCAGTGCAGTGGCAATTTTTTTTGAAGCACGGTCCCCCAAGTCTGCCAAGAGTGCGCGACACAGGTTGTGAAAACTTAAGTGCCACACAGCGCTTTGAGACACAACTGTCAAAGGATTTCCCTTGTTAAATTTGATAGGGCATTGCTGGCTCGCATCCTGTAGACACACAGTTGCCTATCCAGCAGGCCCTGCCCCAAAACATTTGAAACACTTTGAACTCATCACTTCTTCTGTTTTTTGGAAGGACGACTCTGGGCTTTGCCCTTGGCTTTAGCCTTTGCCTTGCTCTTAGCTTTTGGGGCTGGCGCCGGCTCGCCCTCGTCATCCTCCTCCTCCTCCTCGTCCTCTTTGGGGCGTTTGTTGCGGACTGCCCGCAAAAACGGCCTTGGCCAGTTCATGGGATTAGTGATGATGAGGTCATGCATGGTCATGCTATTGAAAGTTATGTGTAACTTTTCTAGGCCATGCCATTTGAAGTCATATACTTACATGAGTGTACTCGAATCAAAACATTGTTTTTCCAATTCCATTTATGGTGCGTAAAAATACTCAGTAAATTATGTACAATCTCCGGTTCGTTCACTCACGCAATTGCCACCCAATGTTCCAACAAACTTGGCTTCCCACTGAGCATGGGCTTCAGCACGTGTAGCTTTGCTGCCCCTGAGGCTGCTTGATGGTTTTGGGCTGGGCGGCAGCATCAGGACATTTTGTGAAAGGGGTAGCGGAAAGAAACCACTTCGTGACATCATTTGGTGTAATCATGTTTAGTGATATGGGAGTCAAGGCGCAAGATCTCTGCGAGCTCAAGGTGCTCCTGGATCTGCCCCAACAGCCTTGGCTTTGAGGGTCTCTAACTTTGAAAAGCTGGGTCAGAGACGAGACTGAACTAAACAATATTTCCCTTGAAAGGGGTTCTCGGGGTGAATGGGGCGCGGACCCCATTCACCCCGAGAACCCCTTTCAAAGGAAATTGTGTTACTATCATATGTTTTATCCGTGGTAAAATGGCATCGGTGCTGTAAAGGAGCTTTTCAGATGGGGAAGGGGCACTCCGGTACTTGGCCAAAACTGCGGCGATGTTGTCATAGTGGCTATCCATGTTGGTGTGGATAAGCTTCATCTGCTCCACCAAACTGCGAGGGTTGAGAAAAAATTGATCAAGGATCGAGATAATAATATCACTTTGAAGGACTTGGCTTATGAACTGACTTTTATCGCTTTGAGTTTTGATATGGAATTGATTTGGAAGCAAACCATGAAACAAAGAAGCGAGAGCGCCTCTTGTCGGCCTTGTCCTCGATCTTACCACGGATCTCGATCATCTTAGCAGATCTCGCAAGTAAACTCTCCATGGTCTTGGTCATCAACTGCGCTGGGTCCTGGAAATAGCATCGGTGTGCAAGTATGTTGATTCTTATATGGATCGACTTCTAGAAGTTGACTTTGGAAATTTTGATTATTGCTTGGATTCATAGTGCGGAGTTCTCGTAAACGGCATCCGGTCCTGCTTCTCTTCAGGACAATCAGGGGCAGCTTCGCCATCATCTTCAAACACGTTGGATGGCCCAGGTGTCAACTGTCTCGTGGCTGGCATGCGTTCACATGACAGTTCCTCGGTCCACTCATCACTTTGCCGGTAAGTTTTCGTCAACTCCCCAGTCTCATCAACCTCCAAGTAGTGCTTGTTGAT